CAGAAGACAAAACGGTGGAGAAGCAACCACAGAACAGCTGTGGCTCAAAAAGTGAAAAGAAGTTTAAAAAAAAAAGGCTGGTTAAAATTGTCACTGCTCAATTACAGACACCTCATGGAATTTCTGTTTTTCAGCTGATTTTCCTACTTAGTCATACTTCTTAAAGATTATCCATAGATTTTTATGAGCATTTGTTTTAAAAAAAATTCTTTCATGACTTTCTTTTGTTTTTAAGGAGGAAATTATTATGACAAGAACCACATCATTATGAATCAGCCAGTAGAAGACAGACTTTCACAGAAATGGGATATAGAAGTACTGTGAGTAAAACCCACCCCACAGATGGACCTTGTGCGGGCTATTAACATCTACCTTAGAGGGGGAAAACAAGAACACGGCTACTGAAGTCACACACCACTGGAACCAAAAGCAGCAACTCCTCTCTACTTTCTTTCATACCAGCTCTTAAAAGAACTGAATTTTGCACAAATCTGGAAGAGGGGAGGTTGATGCAATGTCTGTCTGCAGGGAAGCTGATTTTTCAGAGGCTGCTCCTATGAAAGTCACTATTACTCTTCATCTGCAGTATGAAAGGTATGAAAGTATAAAAGACTAGACATAGGTTTTGCAGTATAGGAGCTGCAAGAGATAACATGTGAAAGGCTCTTCAGAGATACTGTCTTTATCTTCCTCATACTGATGGAAGCTCCCCAAGGAATGAATGTGCTGGTGAGCTTGAATGAAGGTGAGATGGACTTTCATGTCCCAAGTGAAACTGTTTGGGCTCCAAGCAATCGTGAAGCTCAAATCTTCCTAAAATGCAATTTATTATGTTCATAAAGACGACTTGGAACTGGAATTCCAGCTCAGCATGTGAAATGAGGTGACAGAGAAAGCCTGACTCTCACCCCCTCAATGTTACTTGTCGGCCTTTGCCTTCTCTCGTTTTCATAGTACCAAATTCCCAGATCCAGGAACTGTTTTTGCTGCCCCGTGGCCTGTTCACTGCCCATGCAATTGTGAGTTCTCCCTGAAGATCACCTTTAACAGGAGCCATATGTGCGTGTATCAAAGCAGGGATAAATGGCCCTGGGTCAGGCTGCACTTGTGCAAGGGCTAACGCTGTGTTTAGCACAGCAGCGATTTCAAACGTAGCTGTATTTCTGGTTCAGTGTACATAGCTTAATTTAATGCAATGTCATTTGGTCTTGAAACCGTGTCTTCCTGCAGAAAACAGCTCACCCTGGCATGTGTTTGCAAAGGTGCTGGCAGCCTGCATTCCAGTGCTTGCTTAATGAGAAATCCCTCAGATCACATCCCTACTTCATTGAAAATATCTTCTTTTTTCATATTTGTATATTCAGGGTTTGTTTTCTAGGTATGTATTCTAGGACTATTTAAAGAGTTCAGGTTAGCTAAAGACAAGATATTTTAGATTCCAAAAGCTGTAACTATTGTGCACTCAAACAGGATCACCCCCAAACAAATAAAGACATAACCTTAAGTCTGCCATAGATAAAATATACAGATGTCTATTTTTGTATGAAATGGAGTTCTATATAGTACTGTTTAAAAAAAAAATCTACTTGCACTTACTGTTTTACATTCTAAAATTATCATAAATCTGCTGTTTGAGTAACAGATCCTCAAATATATGTATATATTTTTCCAATTAAAGCATTTGTATAGCTTTTTTCCATGTAAGTCAGTACATCAAGTGTTCTGCACGTGACTTGCTTTCCATATGAAATTTTAAAAGCCTGTGTAAAAAGTTGTAGTTTTTTTAATGAACAATGACTAAATCAGATTTGGTGTCTCAGTATTACATAACAAAGCGAAGCAGGCTTTTGTACTTAGGAGACCTTGAATGTAAAACGCTTAAGCATGTATATTTTAACTGTATAAAACTTTTTAGGAGGAACATTTTGCTTGTTAGTTTCTTTTTTAAACAAACTAAACAACAGTTTTTTTAGCAGATGTCAACAAGCACGTTCCTGTAAAATATTTCTTTTCAAATGGACAGAGAACAAGATAAGTATATTGAGTACACAGCTCTGCTGTCACATGAGTTTAATAGTTCATTGATTTTTAATATTCAAGTAACTGTACTACTAGTCATCAAAACCCATTTGAGTGAGCACTGAAAATACAGGTTCCAGCCAGAGGTTTTTGGGTTACTTTCACATGAAAATTGGTGCTGGGGGAGGTTAAGGTTAAATACTATTGTTTGTTTATTCCAGTGTTGGCAGCATCTGAGACGAAAGGGCTTTACTTGAGCAAAATCTTCCCCCTGGAAACAGCACACACAGCTTTTACCGAGAAGCTTCTGTCTTGTCAGGGCAATCAAACAGAACAAACATGTTTTCTTGTTGCTGAACTTTACAAATGAAAAAAAGAAGTTGCTGTTCTATGCCTAAGGTTCTGGATCCTGCTCCATGTATAACTTCAGCAGCTCTCCAGAGGGAAGGGGATACTGGTGTTACTGGGAGAGACTTTGTGCATCCCCGGATATGGAGCTATGGCTCACTAGAAGCGAGCAGCTTACCTGTTTTTCCCCATGCCCAGTTTCCCAAAACTGAGGGAAGAAAAGTATGTATTTATTAGACAGCACCACAGACCAGAGGCTGGATGGACAAGGAAGTAATTTAATAAGCCTCCCTCTTAAGAGATGCTTAATAGCCAGAAACACTCCTTTAGAGGAGCAGCTCATTCACAGAAGCATCAAAGAACTTCAATCAGACATTCACTCCACAGGGACAAAGCAAGGTTTTCCTTCTCTTCATCTGAGGTGAGGTTAAGCTCTTTAACATTAACAGTGCTGCTACTCCAAATCTGCTTCAGTGCTTCCAAGTATGACAAAGGAAAGCGGAGCCCGTGAGTCTGCTGGGGAAGAAGAAATAGAAAAAATATCCTTCAGCTGAGAGCAGTGTCCTTATTGCACAGCAATGTGCGGGACTGTGGGTAGGGAGCAGCAGCACTGTGCTCCCTTCCCACATGGCACTGGTGAGCATTCTCCAACAGTTTTATCCAGGCCTGTTTTGTCTTCATAGGGAAAATGCTGAACTCTCTTCTCTGTTCTAGCACACTTTAAGAGGTGGGGATGTTTACAGCACATGGCTTTCTCCTGTGGTTTCCACACTGAAGCATTATATAACCTTAAATTTACACTCTTGCCTAACCCTAGCCATTATTTTTGGAAGGTCACAGAAGTTTATTTCTAGCTGCCACATGCAGTCTTTGGATACAGTTTGACACGAGCACAGAGAAGCTCCATTACCAGGCCTGGAGTCTTCCAGGGCAAGAAGGAATATTCTGGGATCTGCGTGTCTTGTTCAGGTACCAGTGTACAATCTCAGCTCTGGAGGAGCAGTGAGATTTACCTCAAAAGCCTTGCTGTAACTACTGAGACGAGGACAGACTGTGTCCTGTTTTGCCTCTATTTGTGCAGACCTGAATTCAAGTGTTTTGGATCACAGACCTAAGACACAGCATCTCTCTGCCATAGAAGCAGAAATAAAGGTTCCAAAGCTCAAAGCCACTTTTAAGAAGGGTTTATGACAGGAAAAGCACGTTGTACCTGCGAGCAGGAACAGAGAGACAACCTAAAAAGTAAGTACATTTTCAGAACAAGGTATGTCTTTACTCCCAGTGCTGATCCACCCTACCCTAAAATGAACAACCCTGTAGTGTGTTCCACTGGGTACAGAATCTAACATGGGGTTAGCATGGCAGTGATCCTTAGGGACTATGTGCTGGCCTATCCAGTAGCCTCAGCAGGACACACCAGTCAAAGAGCTGGTTTTAGTTGCTCCAGTAGCTTTGCTAACTGCGACATAAGGTATGCACCAGAAATCCTTGTTAACATCTCAAGTGTTTAATTAAGCATGAGATCACATTACTCAGTTCTACTCGTAACTCCCTCTGTGGTGCAGCCTCAGCTCACTGGGCACTGCAGGGATGGGCAGGAATGCTTGTGTGCTGAGGATCACAGCAGAACCCAGGCCCTGCTGCCATTTTGGGCAAGCTCATCTAATGCAGGAAAACCCACCACCGAAAGATAATTTTTGGTGTGTTTGCAGGAACAAACCTGTGACGTGCCATCCTCACTAGCAGTGTCATCTTCTGTCCCCATCATGTGAGTGTCTCTCCTGTTCTTTAAGGAATGGTACACATAAACCATCTCCCTGCGAATTTCATCCTAAAAGACAGCAGGGAAGAAACAGTTACATATGATCCACACCCTCAGACTCCTCTCACTGCAGTTGCCAATGCTCCTTAATTTTGGAGTCACTCTTAAAACAAAGCACCCAAGTCACCCTGCCAAATGAATTTTCCAACAGCCAACCTTCCACAGCAATAAGGGACCCTCCAAAACACCTCTGAAAATTTATCTGCTATCATCTTCTACCTTAAAACTGCCCCTACTGGAGTCCCAGGACTGATGCTGTACAGAAAACGGGCCATTTAAGGGAAGTATTAATGAACAGGTGTGCATCAACACATTTCCAGTCTGATACTGATCTGTCTCTTAAAAATCACATGCCCATTATCAGTCCTTGGTCAAAGCTGTGCAAAGCAATTCAGAGCCCTCTGGGCAGGTTGCACATGTAATTTGTGGACACAAGTCTTGCATGTGTCCTGTCATCCTAGGTTGACCTGTGTGACATCAGAAGGCAAGGTGGCCAAAAAACTGAGGGGGAAAAAAAGTCTCCAAAACCTACACAGTCTCACAGCAGTGTGGACACAAGCAAGATGGGATCAGAAAGTTATGGTATGCTTTTCGCAGAAATATTCCACTCATCCAAAAAAAAAAAAAAAAAACCAACCCTACTGTACAAGATAATCTTTGCTGTGTCCTACCCCCTTTTTTTATAGTGAGATAAAAAAAGCACTTCTGCAATTTTATCCTAATAAACCTTCATGGATAAGAAGTAGTATAAACACGGCATAATGCAATATGCATGTATCAGTGTTGTGGAACAACTTAGTAGTGCCACTGGCACCTGCTTGGATACAGAGATAACTCAGAAGTGAAGATTAAATGGAGCCACAGCAGCAGCTGCAACCACCAGAATTCCCTCTCTTAAGGAAACCTATTTTTATAACTTATTTGTTTTCTTTAATACAAAGAATAGTAAAAAAATCTATTATCAAGACCTGGAGAGGCCATTTAGCTGCTGTAACGATCTACCCCATCAAACCTCAGACAAAAGCCATGCACCTCCCATAGAGAATCACAGGCTGAATTTACTTTGGCAGCCCCTCTCCAGAAGGCTGGAATGTGCCATATCACTCAACAAACAACCCCAAAGTATCCTAAGGGGATGCAGGAGCCAACTGAGTGCAACTGCATGACCCTTTTGTACAAGAGAGAAACAACTCACATGCACTCTCCAGCCCACCCCAAATATACAGTACTCACAGCATTCTCTTGATCTGGTTCCACGGAGATGAGAGCGTGATCTCTGAACTGCAGTCTGATTTTGCTGTCTATTTTTGGCAATTTCCCACCTAAGGAAAATAAATCCTCCCTTAAAAAGGAAGAAAACCAGATAAACGGTCCAAACTGAGCCCCCTCTGTGCTCTCTCCACTCTCTCAGGGCTGGATTGTTTGTTAACCTATGTTTTAACACCACGTGTCCTCAAACTTGCTGTGGAGGGGCCAAGGAGAAAGAGATTTTTTAATTCTCTCTCACCTTTCCAGTCTACAAATAGCTGTAATAAATAGCAAGCTAGACCCCCGAGAAAACTGCTACCAGTTAAATGCTCTCAGGATACAGTTTATCACAGCTGCCAGTTCCAGTCTGGGATAACCTTTATTCCACTCTAAGGGAGTGCCATCTCTCCCAGTAGACATAGGGAGCAAACACCCACGTGGGGCCTCACAGCACATGAAGCTGATGCTGGACTGGGATCTTTGCCTACCATAAAATACCAGAAGTCCCAAGAGGAGCAGAGTTAGCAACAGCTCTACCGTCACATCAGCCAGTTTCAGTAACTTCAAAACCTACCTGGAGTCAAGGAACCAGAGTCACATCCCAAGCAAGGTGGCAGCCGGTGCATAATGAAGTCCTTCTTCATGTCAGATGACCTCAGTTCCCTGGTGTGGTCCAGGTGGTCTGCAAGCCTCCTCAAAAGACTGCTCAGCTTTTTGGTGGAGTCAGCTGTATTCACCTGCTAAATATCCACACAGAGTTGTTCTCACGTGAATTCAGGCCACACAGACCAGGCCTGTGCTGGTACAGCAATGCTGTAAAACTCTGGATGCTGCTCTTTTATCTTTGCAAGGTTAACACTCTGTCCCAAAACAACCACCTGTCTTCGTTTTAGACATTCCCCATGAAAGCACCTCTTTCTCTTGCTCTGGGGCTACTGCAATGCTAAAGGATGTGCAAATGCAGTTGAGGAGACATTTGTTCCTCCTGAAGCTGATCAGCACGACAGGATCACCATAAAGAGGTCACACAACAATTTACATATTCACTAACTTTTAAAGACTGAAAAGCTTGGCCTGAGAGTAATTATGCCTGGCTGAAAGATCCCAGGCAAATAGCTTTACTTTCAGAAGGAAACAAGCCACACAAGGACACTGTGATAGGAAAGAAAAACAGTGTAATGAATCAGGCAATGCTTGAGATGAAGCCAGCCTCAGAATAGTCATCCTGAAGACTTCAAAAGAAGTGGCTAGGCTGCTAGACAAGGCAGTGCCATTGCACTGAGCCTTCAGAGCAGATCAAGTTCTGAAGTTCCACCTGGGTGCACCATTATTCCCTCAGTTCCACCTACCTACCATCAGCAGTTGCCTTGGGATGCTCGTTCGCAGCACCACGTCATCTTTTGCCGTGTCAAACACCAGGCCAGGAATTGCATCCAGTAAGAAGTCTCCCCAAGAGCTGATGGACAGGAAAAAACAAAAACAAATTACTGAAATAGATGCACTGAAATAAAACAGACATCACAACTGGTGTCATGGGCTGGAAATTCTGAGAATTCAAAACCTGTCTAGTGCCTTTCATGGCCCTTCTGTTACTGCTCTGTAGCCTCATGCAGTGGCTGAAATTCGTGTATGTTCTCACTCCCTTCAGGTCAGTGGCCCTTCTACAGAGGGAAGGAACTGGCTTGAGAAGGGTCCAGTTTCTTCTGCTTCCAGGTGCTTGCCGTTTATCAGTGCCTTCAGCTTAAGTGAAGGAAGGAATTCCTCCTGGGGCCTTTACCATCCAGCCACATGCACACGCAGCCCCACTGCACACAGTGAAGTGTGTGGGGTTGGTTGTGTCACTTAATGTGCTTTTGAGACATTTATACTGAAGGAGGTACCCAGGGTTATCAAATCCAACATGGCATCGGTTTTCAGCTTTACTAGAAACCTAATTACGATCCCAAAAACAAGATGCCTACAGGGATTTTAATGATACCTGACAGGCAGTTTGTAGGTGTCTTGTTTGCATTCTTATTCTACATACTTAACCAAAAACATCGGGTTTGATCCCTGTGCTTCTGTTCCTCAATTGTAACAATAAACCAGAGGAGGAGAGGGAGGACTCCTGCTCCTTCCTGCACCTTCTGTGCCCAGTTTGAGTCGACCGCAGCAGGAAGAAGCTTATGCCAAAGTGCTGCCCTGTCCATGGGTGACCTTCTTCCCTCCCACATCCTGAGGCTGATTTAATGGACAAACACCCAGGGCTGCCAGCAGAACTCCCACTCACCCAGGCCAGGCAGCAGGGCAGGGCCTGTCCTCCAACATAGACTTCACCCTCTGCTCTTGCTCTCCCTCTGCACTCCTGTTTGCAGCACTGATCTCTAGACACTACTTTAGTTTAGGGAAAAAAATGCCACTCCTTATAGTCTTAATATTTTTTTTTATCATCTCCACTCAAGTCTGCTACACAGTGGGATGAAAGAACTCTGGCCAGTAAGAGGAATTAGACATCATCTACTTTTCACTGCTTCCCTCCTCTTGCCCCCATAGTCTCCATCTGCTAGCAACTGTCTTCAGCTACTCGTTCCTTTTCCAGACTGCCCTGCTTATCCCACACGTGCACACTTCTGTCCTGCTGGGATCTGGCTCAGACAAAGCTGAAAATACCTGAGAGTGCCGCCTCCACCAGCACTTCCTCCACAGCTATTTTCAAGGATTTCTCTTCAATTTTCCAAGGAAATGTTTCCAGATCATACTTCCATCTGCAAGCCACATCAGAACACCAGGCTGTACGAGGACTCCTGCTTGTTTTCCCTACACTAGCTGACAGCAGGTGCAGAGGCAGGATGTCAGCACTTCATTACCAACAGCCTTAATGGAGGATGACTCCACTTTCTAACCTTGAAAGAAGTGCAGCTTTTCCTTTTCCTCTCTTTTGGGTTTTTTTTTTGGCCTTCTGAATAAAAACACAAGTGTAAACTGAAATAATCTGAACCCAACTTTTAGGAAGACTCACACCTTTGAGCAGCTTCCTCTTAAACCCTCTCTCCATGTTGGAGGAATGGCCACATGAAGAGTTACCAGCCCATCCTGGGCTTCCAGAATGGCACAGCTGGTGGTTAGAGATTCACCTCACAGTTATCTAGAATATGCCCAAACTTGTTCTGCCCTTCCTAATTCCTAACCCAGGCCAATGACTCCAAACCCAGCACCTGGAAGGCTGATTAAATGGCAAGAACATTTCCCTATGTGATAACAGTGTGGGCACAAGGACCAGGAGTGTGTCATAAGAAATCTGACTTGCATACATGGGGTAGGAGATAAAAAAACCACAGATAAGCAGAAAACATTTGCAAGGAAGAACTGGCAGCAAATCTATCAGAAGATTAGTGTGGGTGACTATCAAATACAGGAGAAAACATGATAAAAGGAGTAACTCATGACTCTTTATGTGAGCTATGAAATGAACAGTAACTTCAGCCACTGATGAGAGATTTTTTTTTAAACATAGGAGTGAGTCTGCCATTGTAGCATCTTCCACATTAAAGCCTACACCTGGTAAATAATAAAATAAGCAATTAAAAAGCAATCAAGCTTGCTGCACGAAAACCTCTCAAACATGCTGCTTCAAACAACAACAGCCTTGCCTCCCTCCTTCCCCAAACCTTCACAGCATCTCAGGACTGTACAGCTCACACACATCACCTGGCAGAGGATAGCCACACAAAACAAAAGATAAAGAATAATTACTTGTTTTGGTAGGTACTGATGGTCACATGTGTTGAGTGGGAGGTCCCAAGAGGAGTGTCAGCTTGGTGGATGGTCCCTCTTGGGAAGTACAGTAAGTCACCTGGCTGCAAGAAAATTGAAATATTTAGGGCACCAGGTCAAAACAGAGAAAATACTCTTTGAGCAGACAGTCTGACAATATATATTCTTTAGAATCACAAAATTGAGCAATCCTGCAATGTACACTTTAATAACATAAAGAACACTAAGCCAGAAGTTCAAAACCTTAAACTTTCCAACCTAGTGCCAATATTTACTGTCTGAAAACACGAAACAAGCTTTTTACCATTACAGAACATGCAGACTCCTACTGAGCTGCATTGAGAGGACAAAGAAGCAGCTGAGATGGACCTGCTGGCAACACAGTGGGCTGGCAGAGGAGCAGTGAAATGGGAATTTGGTCAGATCACATCAAAAGAAAAGGCTACTATTCCACAAGAAAAGCCAAATATTCTATAAAAATTATAATCTGTTACAATACTGTTGTCTGAGATTTTCAGTTAAAACACTTAAAAAAACAAGTACAACCTTCCTCTTCTTCCCTCATCTTTCTTCTCACCTATGTAAATTAGAACTCCACACTGAAAAAATTCACAATAGGAAAGTCAAGACAAGAAAGAAGTTCAAAGCACATGAAACTGCCTCCAAGAAGGAAATAGAAGTTTACTTACGGCTTGTCCTGTAAACACCTGTACCCTGGACAGCACAGTCAAAGAAAACTGCCTTCCTTACCAGTGTGGGGACTACACCAACAAAGAATATCCTAAATTCTCTTCATTTAAAAAAAGGAGAAAGGAAATATTCTAGGAAGATGTTTAGGGAGGAAATAGAGTCAAACAACAACATCCCTCTTGCCACAGACAGACAACCAAAATTTGACACTGGCCACCCAGAAGAAATGGGTCACAGGAAGTGAACAACAGCAAACAGAAGAAAAAGAAAACTTGGACAATTTTTAAGCCCATCATTATTCCATAAAAATGAAAGGCACTGAAGTCTGGCCCAAAATATTCCAGAAATTAAAAAGGGAACTGTTAATTTACTAGACTTTGCATTATCCAGTACATGATGACAATTGAATATTCCCCTCTGTCAAGTGACGCAGCTCACGATGTCAGTATCCTATCCAATGTGTCACGCTATTCCTAAAACACCTACATTGTCCAATGTGTCCCGCTATTCCTAAAACACCTACATTGTCCAATGTGTCACGCTATTCCTAAAACACCTACATTGTCCAATGTGTCACGCTGTTCCTAAAACACCTGCATTGTCCAATGTGTCACGCTGTTCCTAAAACACCTGCATTGTCCAATGTGTCACGCTGTTCCTAAAACACCTGCATTGTCCAATGTGTCACGCTGTTCCTAAAACACCTGCATTGTCCAATGTGTCACGCTATTCCTAAAACACCTACGCCCAAATGCAGGTCTGAGAAGAGCAGAGACCTTGCAGAGGGAGGCTCTGTGACAGGCCAAAAGGCACAGAAATTCCTGAGGCTTCACACGTGGAGCAGCACCACCAGCTGGACAACACTTCAAAAGCAGGTAAAACAGAACAGGACAAGCACCAGATTCTCTGCTGACACTCAGTAATCTTCATGAAATATTCCTTTTATTCCAAAAAACAACAGCCAACCAAACACTTCAATTTTAGGTTTGGAAAAAGGAAGAGCAATTAACAGCAAGTTTATATGGGGTTTGGTTCATGCTTTTGTTTATCAGCCAAGGATAAGTATTTAAATCTCATTCACCAGAAGAGTGACAATGTTCAGTGCAGCAGTAAGTCTCAGTGCACAGAAGGATTAGCCTGATTGATTACAGGCAGCATGTAAAAGCATAAAAATGTTTCATAACCATAAACATAAACCCAAGGGTTTTTCTGCACACAACTCCTCAAACACGATCTAGGAGTCAGGGTGCTCAACCTGGAGAATACTATTGAATTTACAGAAATAACTGGGGGTTTTGGCCCATTATTTAAGTACTAGAAGCAAAGGATACCTTTAAAAAAGAACAGGTTAGACAACTGTCACCCAAATTTCTCGTGCTCGCAGTGTTTTGTGTGCAAACCCTCCCCTCGGTTTCACAGCCACAATCACTGTCTTCAAGAAACGGACCACTTTAAACTTTTCTGGCAATCACAGCCCAGACCACCTAAAGCAATGAAATTCTCATACCTTTAATATGAACTCATGTGTGGGATTCCCAATCCTATCTTCTGATTCCACATTATACTCCCGAGCTAAATGCACCGTTGGTTTATAGAGCCGCCAGTGTTTCTCGCCTTCCAGCTGAAGGATAAACACCTGCAAAAGACCATAAATCCAAATCCATAAGGAAGTAATTCCTTTCACATTAATTTTTAGATAGCTACAATTCAGAGAAATTTACATTTGAACTAATTTTTTTGGTCTCTGTTTAGAGACAACAGGTAGAGGAGCTGTGAAGCGGGATCTGTTTTATCCTAAGGTAGGCATTTGGAAATCCCTGTTTCTCTCCAGTCACTTAAGTGCCTGAGAACTAACTCAAAAAGAAACATCTGCCACACAAATATCCAAAATTTCAGGTGAAAGAGGCTTATCCCCAACAGAACAGCAGAAACCTCTATAGGGTGCTCCATGGGGGTTGATGGCATGAGCCGAAAATGCTGGATGTGAGGCTGCTGAACAACAAGCACAAGAAAAATGAAACTCCAGATGTATTTAATGGAAATGAAAATATTAAAAAGCAAAATATAAGGGTTGGATTTTTTTATTTGGTTTAAGTGGGGTAGCCCAACTTTTTTTTTATAATGCAGTGTATATTTCTATCTTTCTTTTAGAAGCTGATTTAAAATGCATTTGGACCACAGGAATTCATCATATCAGTAACTTCTTAAAAAAAGCAGGACCAACAAGCACAACCAGTCTCCTGTCACTGTCCAGCTGAAGAAAGAGCAACCACTTAGTAAAGGAAAAAGGACTTGTAAATTCTTGGGGCCTGAAGGAAGTGAAAATGAAAAACGGTGCTACAAAGCTTCTACAGCTGTGAAAACAAAATTCTCATTTCATCTAATGGAAATACCAGGTCTGGAAAGCCAAGTTTACATGATATTATGATTAGGTATTACTATTAGTACATCTTCAGCAAAAATATGTAAGAAAAACAAATATAAGGAAACACAAATTAAAAAAACCCCAACATTTTCCTATAATGTTTAGGGGGGGGGAGAGGGTTAGAAGCACACGCACAAAAGCAAACACTGCCAGCAGAAAAAGCCCATGCAGTTTCACAGGCAAGGCTGTGCTGTCCTACCTCGACATCATCATAGTGAGGGGGAAGGCCCTGGGATCCCTGGGGAGTGATGTAAACATTGGACCCCACCAGAGACCCAAAGTAGCACTCCAGCTTCTCCTGAATCTTCCACAGCTCCTCCTGTGAAAAGAAAAGATGCTGTTACTGCTGAAGAGCTCAGCCAAGCCCAGCCCACATCCTCCCCATGGCTTGGGAAGGATGATCACATCAGGGACACAGAGGCTGGGAAGGCAGGTGCTCTGTACCAGTGTTTCTCCTGAAGGAGAGCACTGGAGATGCAAGGGGATCTGCCTTGAGATTACTTGCTAAGCCAAAAAGTCTGATGCCCCAACATGTGTTTATTCTCCTTAGGCTGCACAGCCAGACAAACGAGGCTGAACAGAGGAAAATAATCCCACAAACAGCAAAACACCAAAAGACAATAAGCTTACGCAGGACCTGCATTCTCTCACCAGAGAGAGAATACAAAGCTTAGAGACCTCTCACCAATTACTCCAATCATTTGGGAATATTCAAAACCAAACTTTACTGATCCACACCCAACATGTGACAGACAAGGCAGTGAAGGCAAACACCAGAACTTGCCAAGGCAAACAGCAGCACTTGGCCAAGTGCAGCCAGGAACACTATACCTGGGACTCAGCTTGTATTTGGGACCTTATTTGGGTCCACCTCACAATTAAATTGTGTTGACACCTTCAGACAAAAAATTAGGACTACCTAAATCAAAGCACGTCCAAGAATCCAAGTCCTTTACGCAATTGTGCAGCACCGCTGTCTCGTTCTCAAACACAAGGACTGAGGACACTCAGCTAAGATGGGCTGCTACATTTCCACAATTCATTGGCAAGAACAGTGGAGTGTCCTGGAAATATTTCACATGGTTTCACACTTTGCCCTTCATTAAAACGAAGTGGCTCAAAAGCCACAAAGTTTGCACAAGGAAACAGCAGGGCAGAAGGGATAATTTAAGCACAGATGCCTGATCATCAATTTTGTGCATTTTTTTTTTAAACTTCTTTGTGACAAAGCAAAATTTCAAAAAAGAATATATTATTATATCTATTATAGCATGAATCAGATTTTGTTCTTACTGCAGAGCAGTGAAACATGATGGACAGTGCAAAAGCATAAACTGTGTTTTAATACAGCTCATGTAAAGATTTCAGCTGGTCATCAGTGTCAAATACTTCCCCAGGGGACAGAGATGAAGCCATGTCTAGCACAACTCAAGCAAAACACACCACATTATTAAGCCAGCATTAATTATATCCAGTGAAACCATCTCACCTTAAATCTCTGAGGCTGATGAAACTGTATTGTTGCCTTTTTCTGGTCAAAATCCTTCTTCAGCTGCATGTAATTCACTTTGCCTTCTTTATTTAAAACCTTCTTCTTTCCATTCACACACCTGCAGATATTCACATCTCGCCCATAATACAGGTCCTGGCTGCACAGTTCCTTCAAGTCTGACAGCTGGAACAGGGACAGGTAGTAAGCTGCCACCAGGGGATCATTTCTCTGGACAAGCAGTGGCTTTTGCTCCCAGTACTCCTTGAAAAACACCTCTTCTTTGATGGGGGAGATCAAGCTTCTGAAGAGGCTGTCTGGGTTCTCAAAACACAGGACTGATGGAGAACAAGCTGCTTCCAGCTTTGCTCGTTTACAGTGTGTCTGTGTTTCTTTTCCCATTTCAGCATGCTTCCCTCCTTTCTTGGGCATATTCCTTTTCAAGAGGAGAAAGGACCAAAACAGTCAACCGGCAACACAACCTCAAGACCTCATGGGCCCAGAGCAGCAACTCTTAACTTATCCTGTGGGATATCAGAGAGTATCTCAGGAACAGCTCTGGCTTCAGAGCCTCACTATTTGCTCCAAGCATTAACAGTTTTACAGAAGACAGGGAACAGTTAGGCCTTTCTGTTAATGATTTGTAATTACTACATTTACAACTCTAAAACTTGTAGAATTTACTAGTTTAAGAACTAAAAGGCCAAGATTCTGCTTTCAGTCTTGTCGAGCTGTCAAACTTGGTTTATGTAGAACAAAGGAGGTCTCCACAGAGACTTCTCCAGGCTGAGCCATCCCAACTCTCCCAGCCTGTCTCACAGCTGCCCCATCCCTCTAATTGTCTTCCTGGCCTTCCCTGGACTTGCTCTAACAGGTTTGTGTCCTTCTCATGTTGGGGGCTCCAGAGCTGTATGCAGCGCTCCAAGTGGAGAATCACCAGAGCGGGGCACAGGGGCAGAATCCCCTCCCTCACCCACCGCCCCTGCTTTGGATGCAGGAGTGCTGCCATGGATGGTTACAGGCTCTTCAGAAGGGACAGGCAAGGTAGGAGAGGTGGAGGGGTGGCTCTGTATGTTAGAGTCCCTTGACTCTGTAGAACTTGAAGTCAGTAACAATAAGGTTGGGTGCCTGTGGATCAGAATCAGGGGGAAGGCAAACAACCCTGACATCCTGGTGGGAGTCTGCTACAGACCACCCAGCCAGGGTGATGAGGGTGCTGAATTATTCTACAAGCAGCTGGCAGATGTCTCAAAATCGCCAGCCCTCGTTCTTGTGGGTGACTTTAACCTGCCAGATGTCTGCTGGGAACTCCACAGAGCAGAGAAGAGGCAGTCTAAGAGATTCCTGGAGTGTATAGAGGGTAATTTCCTGCTCCAGCTGGTAAATGAGCCCACCAGAGATGGGGCCCCCCTAGACCTGCTGCTCACAAACTAAGAGGGGCTGGTGGGAGATGTGGTGGTCGAAGGCTGTCTGGGGCACAGTGACCATGAAATAAGAGAGTTTTCAATGCTCAGGGGTGCAAAGAGGGCCATCAATAAAACCTCTGTGCTAGACTTCCGCAGGGCAGATTTCGGCCTTTTCAGACTAGTTCAGAGGGTACCCTGGAAAACTACCCTGGAAAACAAAGGGGTCCAGCTGGCTTCTGGAGCTTGTAGACAGAGATAAGAAGCTGAATAGCCCCCCTGTAATCAAGGAGGAAACAGTTTGTGACCTGCTGAGCCATTTGGATCCTCACAAGTCCATGGGACCCAATGGGATCCATCCTAGGGTGATGAGGGAGCTGGTGGAAGAGCTTGCCAAGCCACTCTCATCATTTACCAACAATCCTGGCTCTCTGGGGAGGTCCCAGACGATCGGAAGTTGAGGAATGACACGCTGATCCACAAAAAGGGCCAGAAGGAGGACCCGGGAAACTCCAGACCTGTCAGCCTGACCTCAGTGCCTGGCAAGGTTACAGAGCAGATCATCCTGAGTGCAATCACACAGCACCTACAGGATGGACAAGGGATCAGAGCCAGCCAGCATGGGCTTAGGAAGGGCAGGTCCTGTCTGACCAACCTGATCTCCTTTTACAATCAGGTGACCCACCTGGTGGATGAGGGAAAGGCTGTGGGTGTGTCTGTCTGGACTCCAGCACAGCCTTGGACACCTCTCCCACAGCACATTCCTGGAAAAGCTGCAGCCCAGGGCTTGGAGAGTGCTGGTGAACGGAGCTGCATCCAGCTGGGATCCAGTCACCAGTGGTGTTCCCCAGGGATCAGTGCTGGGCCCAGTCCTGTTTAACATCTTTATTGATGATTTAGATGAGGGGATTGAGTCCATCATCAGCAAATCTGCAGATGACACCAAGCTGGGGGGGGGCATGTCAATCAGCTGGAACACAGGAGGGCTCTGCAGAGGGACCTGGACAGGCTGGAGAGAGGGGTTGATTCCAATGGAATGAAGTTCAACCAGGCCAAGTGCCGGGTCCTGCACTTCGGCCACAACAACCCCTGCAGCGCTACAGGCTGGGCACAGAGTGGCTGGAGAGCAGCCAGGCAGAAAGGGACCTGGGGGTGCTGATGGACAGGAGGCTGAACATGAGCCAGCAGTGTGCCCAGGGGGCCGAGAGGGCCAAGGGCTCCTGGCCTGGCTCAGGAACAGTGTGGCAGCAGGAGCAGGGCAGGGATTCTTGCCCTGCACTCAGCGCTGGGGAGGCCACCCTGGAGTGCTGTGTCCAGCTCTGGCCCCTCAGGTCAGGAAGGACATGGAGGGGCTGGAGCAGGGACAGAGAAAAGCAACCAGGCTGGGGAAGGGACTCGAACACAGGCCCTGTGAGGAGAGGCTGAGGGAGCTGGGCTTGTTGAGCCTGAAGAGGAGGCTCAGGGGTGACCTCATCACTCTCTACAACTCCCTGAGAGGAGGTTGTAGCCAGGTGGGGGTTGGTCTCTTCTCCCAGGCAGCTCTCAGTAAGACAAGAGGGCATGGTCTCAAGCTCTGCCAGTGGAGGTTTAGGTTAGATGTTAGGAAGAAGTTCTTTACAGAGGGGGTAATCAGGCATTGGAATGGGCTGCCCGGGGAGGGGGTGGATTCTCTGTCCCTGGAGGTTTTTAAGAGGAGACTGGATGTGGCACTGAGTACCATGATCTGGTAACAGCGGTGGCCGTGGATCAAGCGTTGGACTTGATGTTCTCAGAGGTCCTTTCCAACCCATGTGATTCTATGATATGCCGGCTTTTCTGGGCGGCCAGCTCACTGCCAGCTCAGCTACAACCTTCCACCCACCAGCACCCCCAGTTCCTTCCGTGCCGGGCTGGAGGACAAACCCCAAGCAGAACCTCACACGGGAGCAGCTGTTCCCCGCCAGGGCTATTCGCTGCCATTCGGGAGCCCCAGCAGCTCCCTGGGAAGCAGCGGGAATAACGCCGAGCACAGCGGCTCTGAGGACACGCGGTGTCCCCGCTCCCCCGTCCCGGCTCCCGCCGCCTCCATCCCGCCCTTCCCGTCCCGCGGCCCGCACTCACCCGCGCGGGAGGGAGGGAGGGAGGGAGGGAATGGCGGCGGGGACGAGCCGCACGGGAGCGGGGCGGGACGGATCGGATCGGATCGGATCGGATCGGGCCGGGCCGGGTGACGGCAGGCCAGGCAGGATGTGTGCGGAGGAAGCGGGAGGCGGTCCCGCCGCGCTGGGAGTCACGGCAGGAGCCGCTTCCGGGCGGCCAGTAGGAAATACGACAGAATTCCCGTGTCGCCCCAGCACGTGTTCCAGTAGGAACGCAGCAGTAACTCCACCGAGGTTAACCAGTGTACTTCATACAACAGTGCTTGGGCTTCAGCTGTGTTATTGGTGAGATTGGAGGCAATTGGTGGGATTGGAGGGCACTTGCGGCATTTTGGTCAGATGTGTAACCTGTGGAACGGATGTGTTTCCTAGGAGAAAACATTCTGGAGTGGCAGAAGGGTTGCCACAGACACCACGTGAGCGCCACACCACGGCGTGAGCCTTCAGGCCCTGCAAGTCCTCGCCCAGACTTGGTGAAGTGTTGAAATGTGAACTGATTGCTGGGAGTAAGGATGTGTCTGGTAAGTGGCAGTGCTGCCCACTGAGCCGCTGTTTCTGGAGAAGAGGGTCCTGTCTGACAAGCAGCAGGCAGTGGGCACGGCTCAGTTGCCACATCTGCCACGGATGGGCACGGAACTGGACAGCTGTGCTTCTGGGAACAGTGGTGGCTCGTGGCTGAGGTGCTGCTGTTGGAGAGGGCAGCGGTGGTGTCTGCTGCCGGGCAGATGGCCGGCAGCGGGTCATATCCAGGGAGCAGCGCGGGCAACACGAGCAGGATGCTGGAGGACGTAGGATTTCCTAGGAAGTTCACCTGTTTGTTAGCTTTCCTCCTGGGGCTTGGAGTCTCTTTGGTAGCTTGTGGCCTGTGTCAGGTGGTCAGGTTTCTTTGGTTTGGTTTTGTTTCTCTCGATCAAATGAAAAGGGTGGGTCTTACTACAGGAAAGATTCAGGAGATTTTCAGAAACGTTGGAGAGAGGTTGTCTAATGTTGGCGGCAGTGAATACATTTGAGAAGCCGTGGGGTTCTGCAGTTCAGTTGTTCTAAATTAGGTGATTGCCTTAGTGAGCAATTGGAGTCATTATACAGTGCGGAGTGCAGAAGGATTTTTTCTGTCAGCTGATGGTTTTTTAGTGTCTTTTAAAACTCTCCTACAACCTCTCCACCACTGTGCTTTGCTGCACTTGCTGTAGGGGCTGGAGGTGTTTGCTCTCTGCTCGGTCCCCGCCTTCCTCTGAGTTCCCTGGCCCTGCAGGTAATCACAGCTCCCCTTGGCTTTTCCGGGGCCCTTGCTGAAGGGTTTCTAAGCGTGGCCCTGAGATTTTCTGCAGGTGGAATTGATTGTTGTTTCAGGGCATGTCTCACTGGGCAGTCTGTGTTTTAACACTTGCCGGGGCAGGATAATTGCAGCAGAAGAAAGCCAAGGCAGCTCAGAGCCTGGCCTAGGCAGGCCCAGGCCTCTGGCAAGCCCAGGGCTGTCTGCTTGGCATCGCTTGTGTCCAGTTCTGGTCCTGCACTGTCTGCTCAGGGCTTGTTCCTCACTGTTCAGCTGCAAATGAGAGGGGAGCCAGAGGCAGAAAATGCCCCTGCTGCTGGGGCTGAAGTGTCTGCGGTGCCTGGGGGCTGGGCAGGACTTGGCCTTGCTGCCTGCGCGCTCTGCAGTGGCCAGGGAGGGATCCCAGAGGTCACCCCCATGCGTGCTGTGTGTTTCAGAGCACTTGTTTCATTCCTGCATTCCTTTAGTTGATGCTTCCTCAAAATTTGAATGTGCTGTAGAGTTTTTAGCTGACAGCTGTTGCTTTCACAGAGAGATTTTCAAGTGAGAGAAGAGGTTTGGGAATTTGTTGAAAGAATAGTTTAGAGATTCAGCATGCCAGCCCTGAGAATGCTTGGGATTGTTGGCACTTGCCACTAAAGGTGGACTATTGAAACTCTCAGATGTCTGAGTTTAGGTGCCAGAAAAGAAGCTCCCCATGTGGATCTAAGTTGCTGTGTGGTACTTTCTTGGTTTTCGGTAGACGATGTAGCCATGTGTAATCTACGAGGGTGCTCTCAAAACATTTCCCTTAATTGGAAGATCTATAAAATTGGTGTGGTTTTCAGGCTGCACATGTGTCTGTAAATGTACGTGCACGCAACCAAAACATAAATGCACTCCCATGTGGACATTCCTGTTGAACATAATAATGATGCAGCAGCTTCTTTGCTTAGAGAATCCTGGATGAGGTGGACTTCTTCTGTGGGTGCAGTTGAATAGTTCCAGAGGCCTGTGGGAGGGTGTAGTTTCGATGTCAAAAGGTAGCCTTCACAAATATAAATATTAGCTGCTGTTTGTCACTACTTCCTTTTACTTTGACATGTGTTTATTTAAAAATCCCTGCACTGTGCTACTTTTGGTGTCAGGATCTTAGGGGACGTTTCTCAGGCACCAGAGTGCCGAAAGGCACGGTCATACTGCCATTTGATCACTGGCCTCAACTGAGGAATTTGTCTTGGTTTGGCAAGGTAAGTTGCCATCACACTTTATGTAAATAGTCTGCTCGAAGTTCGGGCCATTGCGTTGTCCTTCGGGTCCCCCTCAGTGGGTCACGCCAATCAGGTTTGTTCAGCCTGCAAGTGCTTTAGAGGGACAGCACCTACCGGGTGTCCTGGCTCTGTGAGGGGTTTAGCCGCTGACGTCACGCTCACACGCAGGACGGCACCGCCCTCACCGGAAGCTGCGAAGGGCCATGCCAAGATGGCGGCGGCCATGCCAAGATGGCGGCGGCCATGCGCTCGGCAGACGCCATGACGAGGACGCTCGAGCCAGCGGCCGTTTCGTTCAGGTGGGACGCGGGGGACTCCGCTTGGCTCTCTTCCATGTCCCGTCCCGCTCCCGCTCCGTTCCTTTTCCCCCGTTCCGTCCCGCTCCCGCTCCGCTGCCCCCGCACCATCCCGGTCTGCTCCGCTTCTTCCCCTCCCTGTGCCTCGGGGGGACCCGGTGGAAATAGAAAGCATTTTCGGGGGGATCCGGAGGGAAGAAGGCTTCTCGAGGGAAGCCGGTGGAAATTAAAGGCTTCTCGGGGGGGATCCGGAGGGAAGAGAGCGTTTTGGAGTGGCCCGGTCTGAAAAGTGAGTTTTAGGGTGGTTCCAGTCTAGACAGGAGATGTTTGAGTGGTTCTGGTCGGCAGTTTCGGCTTAAAAAAAAAAAAAAAAAAAAAAAAAAAGGTTCAGGCGGCTCTGGCTTAAAGCAGAGGCTTGGGAATGTAAGGTGTGTGTGTTCACTCCTTGGAATGGGGGCAGGGAAAAGCCCTAAGAAGGAAAAAGTCGAAAAAAATCCTCAACATTCTTCCTCAGTGGCCCATTGAGTAAAATGCTAGATATATAGGACGGATCAGAAAGAAAAAACTTGGGGTAAGGATAAAGCAGTTTCCCCCTTGGGAGTAAAAAATTATTGATGTAAAGAAGTGAGAAGATATTGAAAAAGATTTGTTAATGGTGTCTCAGGCTGGGACAAACTTGTTAAAGAGAGATTTAATAGGGTTATTGACAGTAGAACTGGTACCTCAGGGAAGGGAATTAGAGCTAAACTTTTTGTGTTAAGTAAGGAGTTTGAATATGTGTCCACAAGCGTAAACTACCATGGTGTCATAAATTTGCTTGTTCAAAGAACTAAACTCCTTAAGAAAGCACTTTAAGAAAAATGTTGGGTGGAGTGAGTGATTTACCTAGACAAAAGGACTAACTGGCAGACTTTTTTTTTTTCTTTCCTTCTTCTGAGAAACAGGGGACAGTTTGTTGTTTTTTTTTTACTTTGGCCTTTAGCAGAAAAATCGATTTTTGTATCTAATCTATTTTTCTTTTTGTCTAATGACAGTATGGCTATTATTTATTTACTGCGCTCTCTCTGCAGAAAATTTTAATCCTCTTTTTCTTCCACCCAGTTACTAAGTAATAGTTTACATTTAAATGGCTGTGTGGCTGGAGCAAAGCAGCTCCTGCCCGGTAAGCAGATAAGCCTTTGTTTTATCTCTTAGATCTTATCTCTCTCCCCACAGAGGTGGAACTTTCAGCCCCCAAAGGCTTTTTCTTCTCTTTTCCCTGTTAAAAATTGCTTTCACCGAATAAGGTATCTTGAAACTGGGCATTGTAGTAAATTATTCTACACAAGAATATACCCAGTAATTTTTTTTTAAAGATTTGTCTGCCCAATACAGGAGGCTTTTGGGAGGCATGCAACCGGACACCAATGGAACTGGAGTCGTTCTACAGTGCAGGGATGCTCCACTCACAGAGCTGTGGCCGTTTTCAGCCATCTGCTGATGAATTGGAATTAGCCAGGTTTTCCAGGGAGACTCTCCAGAGGTCTACGTCTTCCTTGGGGGTGCTACTGACTGAGCAAAAGGTATGCCTGTTATTCTTGA